GGATTTGCAAAAAAATAGTTTAACAGTACGGGTCGATACCGGGAAATGTACCAGGACAGAAAAGAAACGATTTGCATAAACCAGTATACGTACCGGATTTACAAAAAAATAGTTTAACAGTACGGGTCGATACCGGGAAATACACCAGGACAGAAAAGAAACGATTTGCATAAACCAGTATACGTACCGGATTTGCAAAAAAATAGTTTAACAGTACGGGTCGATACCGGGAAATATACCAGGACAGAAAAGAAACGATTTGCATAAACCAGTATACGTACCGGATTTGCAAAAAAATAGTTTAACAGTACGGGTCGATACCGGGAAATACACCAGGACAGAAAAGAAACGATTTGCATAAACCAGTATACGTACCGGATTTGCAAAAAAATAGTTTAACAGTACGGGTCGATACCGGGAAATACACCAGGACAGAAAAGAAACGATTTGCATAAACCAGTATACGTACCGGATTTGCAAAAAAATAGTTTAACAGTACGGGTCGATACCGGGAAATACACCAGGACAGAAAAGAAACGATTTGCATAAACCAGTATACGTACCGGATTTGCAAAAAAATAGTTTAACAGTACGGGTCGATACCGGGAAATACACCAGGACAGAAAAGAAACGATTTGCATAAACCAGTATACGTACCGGATTTGCAAAAAAATAGTTTAACAGTACGGGTCGATACCGGGAAATACACCAGGACAGAAAAGAAACGATTTGCATAAACCAGTATACGTACCGGATTTGCAAAAAAATAGTTTAACAGTACGGGTCGATACCGGGAAATATACCAGGACAGAAAAGAAACGATTTGCATAAACCAGTATACGTACCGGATTTGCAAAAAAATAGTTTAACAGTACGGGTCGATACCGGGAAATACACCAGGACAGAAAAGAAACGATTTGCATAAACCAGTATACGTACCGGATTTGCAAAAAAATAGTTTAACAGTACGGGTCGATACCGGGAAATATGCCAGGACAGAAAAGAAACGATTTGCATAAACCAGTTTACATACCGGATTTGCAAAAAAATAGTTTAACAGTACGGGTCGATACCGGGAAATATACCAGGACAGAAAAGAAACGATTTGCATAAACCAGTATACGTACCGGATTTGCAAAAAAATAGTTTAACAGTACGGGTCGATAGCGGTAAATATACCAGGACAGAAAAGAAACGATTTGCATAAACCAGTATACGTACCAGATTTGCAAAAAAATAGTTTAACAGTACGGGTCAATACCGGGAAATATACCAGGACAGAAAAGAAACGAAAATCGTACCCGAAGCACGCGAGCCAGAATGCATGCAAACACGGATCAAAGTGTGAAACACAGTATACGATTTCAGCAGGTTGGGTTTAATCTGGAAGCTGTACTAGGATTGCAAATTTAAGTTTGAGCACACTAGGGACAGAAAGATGCCAGAGGCACAATGTTTACCAAACTGGGTACTACTCGACATTCACAAAATGTAATTAAAAGTTCAGGCGTGATTTAGCAACAAAAAAAATGTATGGCCGAATTTGTAATCTTCGCAATTTGCCAGCAAAAAATATAATCGATTTTGAGGAATCAGTCTAAAAGGCAAGTCGGATAAAGCCCTAGCAAACAGTTTCCAGTTAGCCCAGTCCAGAGTTTGAGAAATCCGCCTAAAAGGCAAGTTGTATAAAGTCTGGGCGAACAGTTTCCGACGGTCTGTGGCTGCTCATTACACACATATTAATCCCCCTCCCCCCCGTAAACGCTGCTTCGCGATGTCCAGCCGGCAACCCAAGCCCCGCTGTTTCCCTATGCACTGGCTAAATTTCTCATTTAAAGCGGAGACACAACAGTATACACAGTTTCGAAGGAATCTGTTTCTCTACTGCACCAAAATGCAGTTAAGAGCTTTAAATTTGACCTTCACATACGCTCCCTAACCTCTTGTAATGTCCACAAACACACCTCCATGGTAGCATGAATACGAAGAAAATAATGAATAATGAAAATAAGGGCCTAAAAACAGAAACCAGCGAACAAGCCCACTCTTAAATCTTAGGCAGTTTTGGAGATCCGTTTTAGAGTAGTGCTGCTCGGCTCCTCGCGGTATTTCCGAGAAATAATTTATATAACTAAAAAAATTCCTAATTCGCGTCAATGGACCGCTGGCAGGTTCAGCACATTTAAAAGTTGCTCTCGCTGCACAAGCATTTCTTGCTCGGCCAAAACAAAATCCATTCGTAAAAAAAAAAAAAAAAAAAAAAAAGCTAAAAGATTACGCGGCATCGACTTTTCAAAGAGTGCGACCCAGCCGTCTTTCTCGCGGAAAGAAACAACCCTAAGTGCTTTCGGTGCTTTCTGAATAATTAACGAGCGAGGGTAATTCACTTCGAGACGCGAGCCAAAACTTTTTCGATGGTCCCTTCTTTTAGCATACGACGTTTCATGCTGGCGCGCCCATCAAGTAGCACCAAAAGTAGACCGTTATGGCGATCGTCGCCTTTGTGTATTTGCTAAAAAAAGCGCAAGATCACAGCGCTTTCCCCGCGCGTGATTGGTTGGAGCCGATGATATAGCACACGCGCAAGAAGATACGACGAGCGTCGTGACAATGCACTTTTGAAGCATGTCCGCTTTTGGATTGGCTGCGTCGGGCCGTATGCGAAGCGCAAGTTCGTCTGCTTCTTTTGCAAGGGTTCTGGTGACGTCACAACGACGCCGAGCTCTGATTGGCTCTGATTGAAGGATAGTGGGTAGACCTCAAGGCAGCTTGCTTTGAGGCCTACCCACTATCCTTTTCAATAGCCAATCGGAGCTCGGCGTCGTTTGACGTCACCACCACCGCTGCAAAAGAAGCAGACGAACTTGCGCTCCGCATAGTGTTGGCTGCGGTCGCGGATTTAGCGTGAAACGGAGTATAGTTACACTCGACCTTCGCGCACCGATATTTTCGTATCGCCTATTTATATTCAAAAATAAATACGGTTCACGTAAATAATGATCAAGGAGAGCTGACCCTTAGTGTGATTGGGGTAGGTCGGGAGTGAGATGGAGTGAGTTGTATAAAATGGGAAAGGGGAGGAAGGCTTGTTAAAGCTAGAGTCACTACAGAGCGACGGCACGGTCGGCCATCTGAGAGGGCGCACCTCGCTTTGCGCCTGCTATTGGCCGTGCCGTATGCATCGCGGTTTGAGCGATTTTAATTTGCTTATAACTTCCAAAATAACGCTAAGTTTTCCACCGCGATTTTTTCCTCCGTGTTACTACGTTTTCTGAGTTCAATCTCAGCGCAAGTTATCGACCAGTTAAAAACCATTGGAGGGCCCTTCTTTTTAAGACACCCCGGGATATGGGGACTTTAAAGAAAAATTCCGGCAACTAATTTTACACTCAAAGAACAAGTGTGAAACTACTTGAGTGAGCAGACCAGGATGCAATAAAAACTGAGCGATTTCTGGCAGCTGACTTCCGGATATTGCTCCGAACATCGCTCCCAACCCTCCCAATGGAAGGCGTTGTTCCAACATGGTATACACTGCTGCCTCACATTGGCCAGGTGGCGCAAGTTAGCGCCCAATTTGTCCGATTTACGGATCTTGATGGTATAGGAAGAGGTCTTGGGAAGTTTGCTTTGCATACAGTTTCTACTTTTCTTCACTGCTCCCCTTTTTTTGGCATTTTTCACATGTGCTGTGAAAATAATCAATGCAATGACCGTACAACACAAACAAACTAATAAAAAAAACAACAACCGAAATTTAGAAATTTACTGATTTCTGTTGATTTTTTGAGCTGAAATCTACTACTATTTTCTGGGGAGCTCTGGCAACACTTATTGAATTTAAGGGTGAATTCGAAACACGATCGTCGGATGTCTTATCTGTTCCAAGCTTCGGTGTCCGTAGACGGCTCAAGCTGGCTATGTATCCTGATTACCTGTCCAACAAGACTTTATTTGGGAATGTGCAGTTTTCTTTCGTTCCATATCGTACACTTAAAATGCTCAATTTGCTGTGGCGACGCTCAAGACGTTTGATTTATCAAAATGGTAATATATCCAGTAGGCCCACGGGGAAAGTGAGGCATCCTCAATTTGGTATGCACCGCAATACCCCACACCGCAAGGAAAAGATGAAATGACCACGAACGAAATGAGGTTCACGGGGCGACCTCACATGTCCTGCCCACCTAGGCCCGCTGTGGGTCCCTTGCAATAACATGTAATACAAACAGCGCAAAAAGGACGGGACACAAAGTAGATGAAGGACACAGGACATCCGATGACTAACAAACTGTCCTGTGTCCTTACGATCTCTTACGACGAGAGAACATCACTGGCACGCTGGCACCATCTAATGTGACTCTGGAGGAGCATTTCACTAGAGCGAAAGTTTTTGCGGTATTTGCAGGACTAAATCTATGAGAAATTGTCGTTACAACTGTTACACACTACAAATGTTCTACGGCTACCAGATAGACGCCAGTGTGTTCTCTCGTCGTAAGAGATTTTAGGAGGATGTTAAAGGACACATGCAAAGGAAACAATTTTTTTTAACAACCTGGATGGAAAAAAAATATAATAAAATGAATTTAAAAAAAATGAGAGCTATATTTACGGCGCGAAACAAATTTGTAGTTGGCGCCGGCGGGAGCCCGCGGAAAAGTGGCTGCTACAGTCACGTGACTGGCCACTATAGTCACGTGGTGCTGGCGCCCTTTCAAAACCTTCCTAAAAAAAGCTATTTTTCCGTTGTAAATTAATTTTATTACTTTCTTTTAATCCACCATTAAAAAAAGTTGTTTCCTTTGCATATGTTTTAAGGCAGACGGTGGTAAGCAGTCGCAAGTGTGTGAGCCAGCCTTTGATGCTTCCCTGACGTCACGCCATTATGGTGGCGCTGCTGTCGGCACGGCGCACGCGCAGTGCCCACGTCTCGTGTGGGCAAACGTGGCCTTGTTTCCAAACAGGGTGTCGGCTTAGAGACGAAACCTTAGAGGTACCTGAGCATCTTGGTGAAGTACTTGACAGTGGTGTAGGACTTTCGCGAGATGTTTCCCATGGCATACTGGACTTGCACCAGTCCACAGCAGATGATGCTGATCGGGGAGAGAAGGTACAGGGAGTTTCGTGTCAGAAGTTGTGTTACGCCGATATCTCGAGGAGATGCACGATAATCAGAACGTCTTAGGTCCTCGTTGTCGTTGAAAATGTTTTTTTTTTTTCGAGAAAGAGAAAGGTGAAAAAAAAAAATTGGGTTGTGTGTATGTTTATACAGCCTAGAACTTGGTCTGCCTCACAGGGGCGACGAGTCTCCCAGCTGTAGATGAGAAATTTAGCCAGTGCGGTACAGCCGCTAGCCTGGGGTCTTTAACGTGCATCACGCAGTAGTGATACACGACCGCACGCCGGTACGATGCTCATCCAGATCGAAACGGGCAGGGGTGGGGCTCGAACCCAGGATCCCTGGGTTCTGCAGCGCGAGCTTTCGCTCCACGTGCTCCGAGCTGGTGTGCGCTAGACCACTCGGCCACCGATCCCCCCAAGAGAAAGGTGATTGAGGCCCGCGAGTGTGTTGGCGGATGCCATATCTCTTTCCGCGGAGTGTGACGCTTTAGTTCTCAAACCCCAAAAGCGGTATTCGCACGAGGAAGCCATCCCGGATATTTCTTCCCGGAGCGCACATCACGTGACTAAAAGACGTCACGCTTTCGCGGCGCGACGTAGTGACGTAAGCTCCGTGGCGGAAGGCAGCGGGAATGCTTGAGCGGTACAAACAGTGACTGCTTGGCACAGGATAAGCTGGCCATTAACGATTCTTGTCGTTAAATGCCTCGGTGCCAAACGTAGGAGCCGTGACGTTCATCCGCGGTTTCGTCAAGAATAAAAACTTTTAAATTTGAGTGCTATATCGCCGGCATCCCCCCATCAGCATCTCATCCTTGTGAGCGACGAAGCCGAGTAGGAAATTGCGGTAGCTGATGACGTCACGCACACCCCTTCGCGGACTTCTTCCATGCGTGAATACAGCTTAAGCGTATAGGTTTTAGGAAGTAACGGTTACTTAACCGAGAGAGCAACTACAATAAAATTTTAATAGAAAGCACATGCATCAGAACCAAGTTTCGCCATCTGCAAGCGCGTGAATTTATACTAATGTTAGCGCGAATTAATGATAGTATTCCTTTCTAACATTTGTTTCTTAAGCATCCTAGTAAAACCGCGAGGTTTGGATATGGTGACAAAGTCACACGCTTTGATGATGGTTGGTTCGGAAAACTTAAAATGCCTAATTTTAGTAACCAAAAAGAAAAAAAGAAAAAAAAAATGTCAGAGGGTGGTGCGCAGTAGGAATACACGTGGCACCCTCACCTGATGATTCCCGAAAAATGCACCAACTCCGCCGTGAGGTAGGAGAGGTACGCGATGCCCAGGACTGCCAGAGGTTCAACAACTGCAGGGCAGAGAAAGGACGTCGCTCATTGGTACATTCTCCTGTCGACTGCGAAGTCGCGTGCGCGGCAGAATGTCTATATATTTCGCTTCACCTTACACTCAGACGCAGCCGACGCTACGAGCTCATGGGACCAACCAGACAGCGTAAAAAGGCACCATCATGGTGTTCGTCATGCTTCTGTACGCGCGCTATCATCGATGAATCAAGCATCATAAGCAAATAAGACCCAGTGACTAGCACTTTTCACGTTGCTTGATTGGTCCCTTTAGTTCGTAGCGTCGGCTGTACAGAAGGCCGTCTTTACCTCCTTCTCGCGGTCATTTTTGAAATTAGCTCGATCACGGTAACCAAGCACTCAAAAAAACCCGTGCGTCTACTTTCTCGCAAGACGCACAACACTCGGAGAGCCGATCACAGCAACTTACGGAGGCAGCTCAGCGAATGACGATACCAAAAGATATGTTTAGACCAAAAAACGCAGTCTGAGTGGTGACATTAAGCAATGCAAAACGTCACGCTTGCATTGCTTAATGTCACAACTCAGACAGCGTTTTTTGGTCTAAACAGATGTTTCGGCATCGTCATTCGCTGAGCTGCCTTCGTAAGTTGCGGCGATTGGCTCTCCGAGTGCTGTGCGAGAAAGTAGACGCACGGGCTTCTTTTAGAGTGGTACAGAGAAGTTCAGAAATGGGGGGGGGGGGGGGGGTCGCCGTCTTATGAAATATGCCTCAAAGACTTTGATAATTTCAGACGCATGTTGTAAAAATAACATTCTGCAAACTCAGGTCTAAAAACATCTGCTTTTCGTGTAAGGTATGTTAAATTATAAGGCGGCTGAAGAAAACCAGCCTTCTACGTTAAGTCCTGATTTTGAACTCTTTTTGTTCGCGTTCCGCCTATTGAAAAGCATGCAGATGGGCCTCAGCACGCATGTCGTATTGCTGCGCCGCAGTGTTCTTCCACAGCATAAAGGCCGTCTGCTTTCGTCGCCTACACCATGGCAACGAACGCCGTCTCCTAGCCAAAGTTTAATAGTTTTGTGTTCGTTGCCATAGTGACAGCGATGAAAGCAGTCGGCTTTTATGCTGCGGAAGGACACCGCGGCACAGCGATACTATACTTTGTTTCACCTTAAGTCCGAGCGTGGCCGATGCTATGCACCAAAGGGCCAATCTAACGGCGAAAAAGGCACACGGCCATGGCGTGCTCTCCACAGTTGATAGGACCAGCGATGTTCACCACCTTTCAGTGCGTGCTCCTCCGTCGGCTCGTCCTATCAAGAGCGGAGAAAGCCATGACGTTGCGCTTTTTAATTGCGCTGTTTGATTGGACCTTCGGCTCATAACAACGGCCACGCTCGGACCCTAGCTGAAAACAAATATAGGTGCGGGCAGAGGCGCTTCCTGCGTGCTTTTTAATGGGTGGAACGCGAATAAAAAGAGAGCTGGTTTTCTTCAGCGACTCATAATTCGATGGGCCTTACACGAAAAGCGTGTGTTTTTTTTGGCCACCCCGCGCCCTGTTTTTTTATATTTTTTCATCCGTAACATCGGCCTAAAGTATCAAACCGCTGAAAGCGACATCATTCGAGATATTGGACGACACTATATATACTCCGTTTCACGCTAAGTCCGACCGCAGCCAACGCTATGCGGGGTGCAAGTTCGTCTGCTCCATTTGCAGGTGGTGTTATGTTGACATCAGAACGCCAAGCTCTAATTGGCTCTGATTTAAGGATAGTGGGTAGACCTCAAGGCAGCGTGCTTTGAGGTCTACCCACTATCCTCTTCGATCAAAGCCAATCGGAGCTCGCGACGTTCTCACGTCACCACAACCTCCTGCAGAAGAAGCAGACGAACTTGCTCTCCGCATCAGACGATAAGGCGGAGGCAGTCAAGAAGCGCCAAAAGTGCATCGTCACGGCCCTCGTCGTCTTTAATATATTGCCCGCTAAACCAATCAGGCAGAGTGAACGCTCCGTGACCATTCTCAGCGCGTGATTGGTCTAGCGACCAAATGTGAAAGAGCGGCAGACGTACGAACCTCTGACGTCGTGCGTGTACTTGGTGACCACGGCAGTGATCACTCCCATGATGCACCCAATGGCGAAGGCTCCCGTGCTCACCGAGAGGAAGGCGGCGAAACCTACGCCGATCTGAAAGGGACGCGGTCAGTCAAGTTTAGGTCTAAGACTCCACTCAACGTGTTTGAGCACCTTAGGCCGCTGTCACATTGCTCGCACAACAATCGATTGAGAAGTAATGATTGATCGCCTCTCTTTTTTATTTATTTTACTTTATTTATAGATACTAACTTCTCCAACTTGGAGATATGGGAGTGAAAAACACTTCAAACATACAAAAACTGCCAGACGGCCGACAGTGCTTGAACAACAATGGGCTCACGTATTATTACGATTGAAAGCATAACTCCAAAGATCAACCGCGTTTAATAGACCGATCTCACCAGCCAGTTTGACTACGCCACCGCTGCCGCATTGCATCGAGGGAACTTTAGTCTTTCTGCACGTGCGACGACCCCGCTGGAGCTCTGCGCGTGTGGAGCATGAGACGACACGAGGCCTCGCATGAACGGCCGTCTGACTCTTGTGAACTAAAGTTATGGCGGCGACACGCATGCGCCGAACGCCTAGAGATATCGGTCTATTAATATGATGAAGCAACAAAGACAGTGCACCAGAAAGAGGCAGACGGGAAACGCAAGGAACACAAAATTGGTGATTGTATGTTTATATAGCCGGACATTAAGGCTCCGTTAAGGCCTGTTCACACATGCAGCGGAGCGCTACAAGCGTAGCGCTGACCTCGCGCTAAGCGCGTGCTGACGGAAGCGTTCATCAGCTTTGTATCGCACCGTCAAAACTGTTGCTCATGGCAGTCGATAAGTAGCTGAAGACACGTGAGCAGCGCTATATCGGCGCTTCGCTGCATGTGAGAACCGGCCTTTATACTCCGACGCTGAGCGCAACGAACGCAGCGTAGCGCAGAACGCGCGCGTTTCATTGGCCGGCGAGCAGGAACTCGGTATCTGCGACCAATCACTATCTGTGTGCGCTGCGGTAGGCCGCGTTTGCTACACTCGATGTCGGAGCCTTTAGTCTGCCTCAGTGGGCGTCGGGTGTCTCAGCTGTAGCCGGGCAATGTTAGCCAGTACGGTAAAACCGCTAGCTTAGGGTCTTCAATGTGCACCACGTAGTAGTGATACATGAGCGCACGCCGGTACGATGCTCATTTAGATCTAAACGGGCAGGGGTAGGGATTGAGCAAAGGATCTCTGGTTTCTGCAGCGCGAGCTTTCGCGCCACGTGCTCCGAGCTGGTGTGCGCTTAGTATGCGCTAGACCACTCGGCCAACGTTCACCTACCGATCACAAACAGAAATAACCAACGCCGACAAGACTCAAACCATAGCCTCCTCTATACTGACAAAGCCTGGCAGATCGCCACGAGACGCGGCCGCCGACAGTGAAAAGATAGAGCGGCAGACAACGGATGAGAGGGTAGGCAGGGACCTTATAGGATAGGCCAGAGCTCTGGGATAGGCATTTAACGGGCGCCCCGCAGCGGCGAGTCGCTGAAGTCGAGCGATGGAATGTCCGCTCGTGCTCCTCACGTTCCTCTGGCTACCGATTCTTTTCTCGTCGGGTTTGGAAACCGTGTTTCGGGTCCTCGCCGCTGCAAAAGCTGTGCGCTGACTACAGGGTCTCTAAGAAATGCTCTGTGCTACCAGATCCTCGCGCTTCAAGTCTGCGACCGGGCACTCTGTGGCTCTGTCGTCGAACTGCCAGGCTGTTTGAGTATAGAGGAGGCTATGCTCAAACACATGCAGCATGCACGCGATGGTATATCCTTGGCAGGCTTGGAGCCTTTCGGTGTTCGTGAAGTAAGTGCGAGTGATTGCAAGCCTAGCAAAGGTGCCTTCGCGTACATTCTGCACGTGTTTGAAGCTTATCGGTGTCGGTTGTTTCTGTTCGTCGCTCCAGTGGGCCTCAGGTATTACACTCCGTTTCATACTTCGTAAAGGGGTATTCATACGGAGAGGAACTCCCGCCCTTTGCTCTCCGGGATGCTCCTCACGTGGTAACAACGTCACGCTTTTCCGCGGCGCCGCGCTGATAGAGACATCCCACGAGGGATGGGGGAGCTTTTTCTCGGTCTGCAGAAACGCTTCCCCGTATTGGCATGGGATCTCTTTGCCATTGGCAGTATTTTGTTCGCGTGTCTTAGAGAAAGCGTGACTTAGACACACAAAGCAAAACTTTATAGATTTTTCTCTGTGTTGTCTTGCATCCACCCATTCAAGAAGCATATTTCTTTTAGCATTAAGTAGTTCGTCGTCCCCTGCATCTAACAGCGCTGCTGTCATACTCGCGTATCGTCGTTTCATGTACAGGGTGTCCCAGAAAAAAAAAAATTACAAGGTTTTTTTCACCACAAGAATAAACTACGCATCGCCAAACGCTCATTCTCCACCCAAAGGTAGCGCTAGAGGTCCGAACCAGGTGCCGAGGTTTCAGCCCGAACCGATATCTTATTCAAAAGTTACGTGATTTTCTGAATATTTCAATGGGAAAATGGCGGCCGACAGAGCTCTCGAATACGTGGAAATCTATGGGCGCCAGAAACCGAAAGCGGGCATGAATAGGCCCCATTTTCCCTTTGAACTTTTAAGAAAGTCACTTATAGACCTTTTCCACAAGGGCGCCGCCATCTTGAATTGTCGTCACTTCCAGTATGGGCGAAAACATTGTTTTGCCGTCAAAACGCCAATAGAAGACATTTAGGATATAAGCGTAACCGTCACACATTCTCGTTTTGGCTCCCCTCTATTTTTTTACTGGTTACAGGTTGAAACGTTTTATTATTTTTTCGTCGCCCTTACCGTTGGCTGGAGACGAGAGTACACGAAAAGTGTCTATAACTTTTGAATAAGATATCGGTTCGGGCTGAAACTTTGACCTCTGGTGCGGACCTATAGCGCTGCTTCTAGGCGGAGAATGAGCGTTCGGCTATGCGTAATTTACTTTTGCAATGAAAAAGAATGCTTTTTTTTTGGGAAGGGGGGGGGGGGGGGGAGGGGGGGCATTCTGTATTCGCCCCCATTTTTCTACTCCCGTCCGCGCGCACCGAGCCCTGTTGTCAAAAGTGCGACCGCTTAATGCGTCTGAAAACACTGACATCCCTCTCAGCTCCCCGCCTTTCGTGGGATTGCTTGGGTCGGGGAGGGAGTCCCGCGCAGGCTCCGCCAATCACATCATTCCCCAAAAAGCATCCCTCGTGTTTAATACACCGTCAAAGCTACTGGCGCGAGCGCGTGGCTTTATCTACGGTTTCGTCTGCACTAACGCGTGCGAATGATCTGCAAGATCACACCCCATGCTCGCGCTAGCACCTTTGACAGCGTAGTGCACTGTGTATGAAATAGAGCACACAGAGCTCTGATAGATCATGGATGTCACGAGCTCCCGTGTCCCCCGCCAACTGTGATTAAGATAGTATCATAGACGCCTATATACTGACAAAGTCTGTCAGATCACCACGAGAAGTGGCCGCCGAGATGGGAAAGGTGGAGCGGAAAGCAACGGATGAGAGGAGAGCCACGTGACTGGCGCCCCGCTGCGGCGAGACGCCGAAACACACTTGTCCCGAGCGAACGAGCGAGTTTGTTTCGGGACCTTGCCGCTGCAAAAGCTGTGCGCTGGCGTCCAGGTTCCCGAAAATGGCTCTTTGATTCTCTGAGCTACCAGATCCTAGCGCTCCCAATCTGCGACCGGGCACTCTATGGCTCCGTCGTCGAACTGCCAGGCTTCGTGAGTATAGAGCAGTCTATGATAGTCTCTGTCGTCTATATCACAATCGTAATTATCCAGAGCGATGGTCGATCTTGAGATAAAGAAGCTCGAGCGAGGCTTCTTAGTCGCTGATAGGGCGAGACCGAAAGGGAGGAGCTTCAGTTGTCTCCTGCCTTCAGCGCGAGCTTCCTACCTTCGAGAACGCGTCTCGCGCACCTCGAGCGCTCGCGCGCAGCCAAAGCACGGAGGAAGGCCCGGAGCCCGCTCTGCAGGCGGGGAGTTCGAAAGGCACGCCCCACCGTTCTTATTCTGTCAGTGACGATAGTGACCAGCAGTAACCCCGGAAGAATCAATAACGACAGCCCTCGAAACAACGAGCCGTTGAGGTGGTTTAAACTTTAAAGGGACACTAAAGACAATTTTAAATATGAAACCAAAAACTTCCCCTTCAAAAAAAAAAAAAAAAAAAAAAAAAAAAAGGTGATTTGCGACTTTGTAGGGACCTGGCAATATGCTCGATTTCTTTTTTATACAATTATATGGAGGTTATGATTTCGTGTAATGTAAATCAACGAAAAAAAACTGGGGTTCGGCTTCCCCGCCATACAACCTGCTAAAACGGAGGTGACGTCGTCAATGAACAGTCGGTTTCGGTTGAATTTAGCGTTCATCAGCGCAGCTGGAGCGGTGAGCTGTACACTCTACAAAACAGCCGTGCGTCTACTTTCCCTCATAACACTCGGAGAGTCAATCACCGCAACTTACGGAGGCAGCTCAGCGAATGACGATGTCCAGACATATCTCTCCGAGTGTTGTGCGGGAAAGTAGATGCACTGGCTTTATTTATTTATTTATTATTATTTTTTTTTTAGAGTAAACGGCGCTTTGTGATTTGAGAGCGTTGTGCCGCGTTGCGACTGCGAAGAACCAGGACCTTCGTGCTTCGTACGCCGCTTGCCAAGCTACTCCTTTAATTAGTGGCCACGCTTCACATGAAGCACGGGTGACCCGGTTAGGATGCCTCAGTGTCATTCACGGTGAAGAGTATTATCTTACACCGCGGTGTCATTCTATTGAGCGTGATGCATAGCCTCCTCCATACTCACAAAGCCAGGCAGTTCGACGACGGAGCCATAGAGCGCCCGGTCGCAGATTTTGAAGCGCGAGAATCTCGTAGCGCAGAGCATTTTTTGGGGAACCTGGTATTCAGCGCACAGCTTTTGCAGCGGCGGGGACCCGAAACAGTGTTTTCAAACCCGACGAGAAAAGAAGCGGTGGCGCGAGGAACGCGAGGAGCACGAGCGGACATTCCATCGTTCCCGAGCATGGCCTCCGAGATCCCGA